CAGGAAGACCAAGAATAATCCAAATGTGTGGCAATTAGAAAAATCTAAAGGAAGATACAATATAAAGGAAAAAGTGTGGAAAAAGATGAGCAGAGAGGACAGATGGATAAATTGCTATGTGAATAATCAAATGTAGGCCAGGGAGCCAGCCCAGTAGCAGCATGCTTGCCTACCATGTGCAAGGTCCCGGATGTGACTTTCAGCATTGGAAAAAAAAAAAAGAAATAAATGTCACAAAATGTTAACTGTAATATCTCAGTGGTGGGCACATATGTTACTTTACAATTCTTTCTGTTTTTATATAGTTTTATATATACATAAACTTGAATAATAATGTATTGGCAGAATGAGAAAAAGAAAAAGCAACAGGGCTTAAAAACTATAAAAGGAATAGGGGCTGCGGATTTAGCTCAGTGACAAAAGCGCCTGCCTGGCAAGCGCAAGGTCGTGAGTTCGGTTCCCGGTACAGGAGAAAATACAAAAACAAAAAACAAACAAACAAAAAAAACTATAAAAGGAAGAAGTAGAAAAATAGAAAGAAAACATGCTTACAACAATTTTGGCCCAGATGATTATGAGGATGGTACACAGAAGAGGTACAGGACTGGCATTAGGAAAAACATGTCACATTTAGTTTTAAATATGTATATTTGGGGCCGGGGGATATAGCTCAGCAGAGCATTGGCCTGGCATGTGTGAGGCCCTGGTGGTTAGATCATGAAGACCAAAAAAGTGTCCTTGAAGTGCTAGCAGATCAAACAAAAACAAAGGCTCTAAAGCAACAGGAAACATGAAAATATAATTCAGATAGAGGATAATACTAGAAATTTAGATGAAGATGCTTATTGCAGTAAATTGACAGTTAAAGTGATAAGAATAAATAACTTCTACCAAAGAAAACAAGAAAAGGCAGAAAACTGAACTAAAACAATTAGAGGTCAGGATAAGGAATGGACTTCATCAAAATAGACTGCCCTGTAAGACTAACAGGATATTAATCCAACTCGGCAATATTAGATATTCTATTTACCTTCACAATGGTTAATTTAATCATAACAAAGAATTTATCATTAAAAGTCTTACAGACAAGGGAAGTATAGCATAAAAATCATTTTAAAATCATTTTTTGAGTTGTAATTTACACATAATAAAATGTGGAGACCTTAAGTGTTCTTTCAATGATTAATATAACTGTTCAATTACAAAAAAAGGGTATGACAATTGCATACACCTACATAACTGCTGCCTCAAACAACAGGAAATACCCATCACTGCAGAGAATTACTTCAATTCAGTCCATTTCCCTTCTCCCCCTTTATTTCCTGATTTTATCACCGTAAAGAATATGGCCTGTTCTCAGGTTTTAAATAATGGATATTTAGTGCCTATTCTTCTGTTTCAGGCTTTATTTATTCAACCTGTTTCTGAGATTCATCCATGTTGATGACTGTTATTGACAGTTTTTTCTTTTTATTGGTGAGCAGTATTTCGTGAAGGGAAATTCTCCTCCATTGAGGGATAGATGTTTGTCATTAAAATATTTAAGACAAAACAATTAACTCAAACTAAAAACCTTACCTACACTCAGGTTTCAGCTCCTATGACTAAAACTGCCAACACCATTTCTGCAAAGTCTTTTTGAAGAAATTTTTTCATTTCTTGAGACAGTGCCTCGTGGGAAACTGCCAAAAGTTCCCCAAAACGTTCACACAATTTTTCATCCTCACCAACAATGAAGTTCTAATTGCCCTAAAAATCTCACCAATCTTTGGTTATGTCAGTGTACTTGACTTTAGTCCTTCTGGAGGATGAGGATGGTATCTTCAACCCTCCTCATGAAAATGAATGTATCTCACTGTAGTGATGATCAACGATAAACCTCTTTTTATATTCTTATTAACTATTCTTCCCTTTTGTGAAGTAGGTAAGTCCTTTGGTCATTTAAAAAAAAAAAAAAACAACTTTATTGGGAGAGTATTTTTAGGCAAAAGGAAGACAGTAAGAATAGGGGAGGAAATAAGGGGAAGTATATGATCAAAATATATGCATATATGAAAGTATGTACCACAATGAAACCCAATATTTTATATAATAGGCACTAATAGAAATACACTAAAAAACAACTTAGTTGAGACAAATTTTACAAATAATTCATCTGTTTTAACTATATAATTCAATGATTTTTCATAATTTACTCAGTTGTACAATCACCACCACAACCCAGTTTTAGAATATTTCCATCATGCCAGTTAGGCCCCTGGAGCTGTTAGCAGTTCATCTGCACCCCCATCTTCAGCCCTGGGAAATTACTAATATGTTTTCTATTTATATAGATTGCTTACTCCCAACAAAGAAGTGAGACAATATCTGGTCTTTTAGTGTCTAGCTTCTTTCATTTAATATCATTTTTGTCCTGGTACTGAGGATTGAAACTAGAGGCTTATACATGCTAGGCAAGCACTCTACCATTCAATTACATCCCTAGACCTTTTTAGTTTTATTTGAAGACAAGGTCTCACTAAATTGCCCAGTCTGGTTTAGAATTTGTGATTCTCCTGTCTCAGCTTCTAGAATAGCCAGGATTATAGGTATGCCTTACCACACTTGGCTTAGCATAGTATTTTTGAGAATCATACATATATAGTATTTTGTTCCTATTTACTCCGGAATATTCCACTATAGAGTTGTATCACATTTTATTTATCCACTTACTGGTTAATGAATATTTGAACTGATTTCGCTTTTTGGATTTGACGAACAGTGTTGCTATGAATATTTTCACATAAGTCTTTGGGTGGACGTATGCTTTTATTCCTGTTGGGTGGCCACTCAACGGAGTGAAGTTATTAGACCATTGGATAAATCTTTATTTAACTTTCTAGGAGACTGCCAAACTGTCTTCTAAAGGAGGTGTGCCATTTTCCATTTCACACAGCAATGTATAAAGGATATTGTTTAATCTCTACCCTCACCACCATTAGTTACTTTAAAAAAAAGCAGTCATTCTAGTAGTTGTAAAGTTCTATCTCATTATGGTCATACTTTGTAAACAGCTGAATGACCATAAATTTTGAGTATGTTTCATGTGACTCTGGGCCATATGTAAAATGTCTTTTTAAATATTTTGCTCATTTTGAAGTATGACTGTCTTATTACTGAGTTGTAAAATGGTTCCTTACAAGACTCTGAACATAATTCTCTTGTTAGATATATATTATGAAATCTGCAACTTGGTCTTCATTTCCATTTTTTTTTTTTTTTTTTGAGAGACAGGGCCCTGCTACGCAGTTCAGCTAACTGACCTTCAAAATTCACTATGTATCCCCAGCAATCCTCCTGCCTCTGCCTCCTAAGTGGTGGCATTACAGGCTTGCACCATCACTCACAGTTTAGGTCTTCATTTCTTAGTGGTGTGTTCTAATGAACAGAAACTTAAAATTTGTACTAAGTATAAAATATAGATTTTTTTCTTCCATAGTCATGTTTTTGTAGCCTGTATAAGAAACTTTTGTCAATCCTAAAGTCATGAAGACTTTTCTCTGTTTTCTTCTAAAAGTTTTATGGTTCCAATTTTTATGCTTAACTAATTTTTGTGTATGGAGTGAGGTATAATGAAGGTTCATTTTTCCATGTGAATATCAACTTGTTCCAGCATCATTTGTTAAAGACAATTTTCTCTCCTCATTGAATTGATTTGGCACCTTGGTTGGAAATCAAGTGACCAGGTATGTATGTCTCGATCTCTGAACTCTGCATTCTGTCTCACTGACCTAGTTGTCTCTCTTTATATGAGTATCAAGCTGTTTTTACTACTGCAGATTTACAAATCTTCAAATCCGGTAGCCTATGTCCTTCAATTTGCTTTTAGGATTATCTGGTCGATTGGAGCCTTTATATTTTCATGCATTTATTTTAGAATAGGCTTGTCAATTTCTTCAAAATATTCCATTTTAATTTTTATTGGGACTGTACTGAATCTAGATATCAATTTACAGACACTAGACAACTTTAACAATACTGTATTATTCAATCCATAGACATATTATATCAATTATTTTAGGCCTTCATTAATTTCTTTCAAAGATGTCTTAATAGTTTTCAGTGTTGAGAACTTGCATCTTTCAATAGATTTGTACCAAGATTTACAGTTTTTTTATGTCATTATAAATAGAATTATAAACAATTCCATTTTTAATTGTTCCTAGAAAAACTCTTAATATTATAATCATGCTGAACAAAGTATGTGGAAATTCTGTTTAATTTCAACTTTTTATCCCTGAAAACAATTTGGGATAAATTCTATATTTATTTATAAAATTTTATTATTGTATAAAACTTATAATACACAATAATTAGCATTACTAGTTGAAGATTCTGAGAAAAATAATTTTTCTAATAATTTTTTACAGTGTGTGAAGGAGATATTACAGACTTTCATTGAGTTTCTTTTTGCTTTAAAATTTTCTAATTTTAGCTAATTATATCCACAGGCAGTAGCACATCTATCTAGTACATACTAAATTAAATATATTTTTGAAGACTCGGCAGACATGACAGACATTTTGTGGTTGAAAATGTGCCTAATATATTGAATATTTATTTAGAACTTTATTTATTTATTTAATTTTTTTTCCGTACCAGGAATCGAACTCATGACCTCGCACTTGCCAGGCAGATGCTGTGCTGCTGAGCTAAATCCCCAGCCCCTATTTAGAACTTTAAAAGTGTGTCTCTAGAACATGTGCTTTTAAAAGGGCAAACTTATTTCTAAGACTTTTTGAAAGAAAAAAAAAGGTAACCCTCACAGAAGAGATAAATACAATGCCTCATACAATTATATAATGATATAATTACCACAGTGAATTGATTATGAGCTCCAGCCACTCTTATGTGCTTATGCACATTGTGGTTTGTTTAGGGATTTGGAAAACATTATCTAAGCAAGAAGAGGAGGAACAGATTAAGAGAGTAAGCATGAGAAAAGGTTTCTGAATTTCTACCTCCATCTTCACAGTCTTCGGGGGCTTTGGCTCTCTTACACAGACGAGGATCCAACCAGGTGGTTGTCTTGGTATTGTGGCTGCAGAATAAAGACCTCAATTAGAAACAGTAAAATAAAGTGGGAGAAGGGTACTTCAAAAGCAAAGATTAAAACTGACTAAGAAGCATACGATGTTGGAACATTTATCTCCTAGAGTCTCCATTTGTATCCCTCAAATTCAGCAATTCTACTGTTCTTGGTTACTTCAAAACTGTCATAAAGGAAAGGTAACATCAGAGGCACTGATTTGAAAATGAGGATTTTAAAGAAAAGATCAAATGCCAAGTACAGAATAACACACTTATTTAAAGCAGTCAGAAAAGTTTCAAAGAATGGCCACATAACCACATACTATGCATTAGTGAGCTAGCTATACTGAAAACCCTGCTGAATTCCTTCCCATCAAAAAAGTATATTCCCTTCAAAAATATATTCAATTTGTAGGCATTGTGCTGGGGGCTGGGGATGCAGACGCCAGCAAACAGGATCTCTGTCCTCACAGGGACTCTTTAAAACAAAAGACAATTTTAAAAAGTTTTAAAGTGATTGTTTTTCCACCAGCCCTCCCCAAATATATATATATATGGTTATACTCCACTCCTCAAGCTATGCCTTCATCTTCATGAACCCCATAGGGGGAATAAAGAGAAAACAGAGATCCCAGCCCTGGCCCTGCCCCTTTTCTATGAAGTAGGTCAAAGATGCTTTCAGAATCATATAATTTTATTGCAGGCCATAATCACTAAGCTTCAAGGTTTCAAGCAGTAAAAAGTAATGCTAAAACAAACTACCAACTGCTGAGTAGACAAAAAGTGTTACTTTCAGTCAGAATTATAAGGATATTATAAAGAATAAAGTTATAGAAGAAAATATATAAGAAGTCAACAAAATATAACCAGAAGTTATCAAAGTACTGTGATAATAACAATGTAAGCAACTTATCTTTCCTTGGCGTCTTTAACTTGAGATAAACTCAAACAATCTCTAGGAAATGTAGCCCACCCTTAGGACATGAAGCCAGTACTTTCAGGGAATTAATCATATCTTCTGTACCTTTTATAACTCTTGAGCTACACGCAGAGTGACACTGCCACTGCTGGGTATGACACTACTTGAAAGTCCATGGCAGAAACATTTTGGGGAGATAGTGAATAATGGGTAATCTATATAGGAAAAAAACTGAGTGTTTCTAGAAAGTCTATGCTATTTATTCTATCAGAGGGGTAATCTCCACGAATGGAAACCAATTAAATTAACTTGAGCAAAGGAAAGGGATCAAAATTCAAGGAAGCCTAGGAGCACAAACATGGTTTTAAACAAACAAACAAAAAACATCAAGCATAGAAATATCTTGCTAAACCAAACTCAAATTTGCTACGTGAGAAAAGCTTAATTTTGATTTATTACTAAAATAGCAAATGTAAGTACTATACTAGGGTTTTACCTAGTATTTCCTAAGGTAAAGAAGTTCCCAAAGGGGCTAGTCCTGAAGAATAAGAACTAAAGCCCATGGGCCTACATTTATGTTGTTTTCTTACAATTGCTTATTTTAACAGAAGCAATTAAACAGATCCACCATATTAATTTAACATGGATCAAACAGATTAGCTATAGCGAACAAAACAGCTTTATCTAGCAGTAAATATGCAACCACATTCTGAAGATTAATCTTTTACCCAGTTGCAAATATTTCTCCCATTCTGTATGTTGCCTTTCGCTCTGCGATTGATTCCTTTTCTGTGCAGTTTTTCAGCTTGATACCGTCCCATTTGCCTGCTCTGTTCTCTTGCCCATGCTTTTTGTGTCATCTCCAGAGGTCCTTGCCAAATCCAGTGTCATGAAGCTTTTCCCCTTGTGCTTTTTCCTCTAGGAGTTTTATAGTTTGGGCCTTACATTTAGGTCTTTAGCCCATTTAAATATAAAAACATTTATAAATCCATCCCCTAATCATTTACTAACATCCCCATTTGTATGATAAAAACCTGTTAGACTCAATGCCTTGTAATGTTTTTAATGATATCTCCACACTTTACTTCCAGATTTAGTCCTAAGGTCAGCATGAAAGTCAAAAGTGTATATTGTGCTTGAAATCCCCTTAAATTGTCCAAAGAAGAAGTATACTTGATTGTATCTGTTTTATATAATCCTGGCCACCAATGTTCATATAAATTATGTATACATGAGAATGTGTCATATGTGGTAAAAAGACCACCATATACTCAAATTCTGTTTTTTAAATGCTAGAGTCCTACCTGGTATAGCAAGATGCTTACTGTATGGGGAAAATCTGAAATCAGATTATTTGAGGAAACGGATTCAAGTCCCTCACCCTTGATTAATTTCTCCTTATAATATATTCTTTGAGTGTAGTGCCCAGCCCTCTATCTATCTATCTATCTATCTATCTATCTATCTATCTATCTATCTATCTATTTATTGTGAGACAGGATCTTGCAAATCATTGAGTTACCCAGGCTGGGTTCGAACTAGCAATTCTCCTGCCTTAGCATGCTGGGACAACAGGAATGTACTACCACACTTGGCTTCTCAGTATTTTAACTCTTACTTAACTGTCATAGTCTATAACTTCACTGTGTTACTATTCTGCCTTTGGACAAGTTAAAGGTGAGAATTATAGCTAAATGAGAACATAAAAATTATTCATAATAAAACTTCCAATAAATTATTTGCATAATATCATTCTTTGGTATATATAACACAATTTAAGGTTGAGTAAAATCATGTGGCATTCAGTATCCCTAAATGCTGTACTGTTTTTCAATAAAATTGTTCTTTTTTTTGTACACATATTGTATCAATGATTGTAATCATCAGTGATATTTTCTTCCTATATTAATTATATTGTCTGAATACATCACACCCAAACTCTAGGACTAAAAATATTTAGCTAGGTAATATGCCACCCATATTATTCTAGAAATACTCATAAAGTTGGACAAAGTACCTAAAAGTTAAAAAAAAGCAAAGTAAATGCCATTTATACGTCACATTTTTTCTTCATTAGTAATGAACCTATTATTCCTTCTACTATAAAACCAGAAGTCAAATACACTATTCTTTTATCTAAGTCAAATAAAAATGAAATGTCATCCAGGGAAACAATCAGATTAAGAGTCAACCATTACTTGTATAAAGAAGTTTTTTTTTTTTTTTTTTTGGTACTGGGAATCAAACTCACAACCTCATACTTGCCAGACAGGTACTGTGCTGCTGAGGTATATCCCCTAAAAAACTATTTTTAAAGAAAGAAAAAGAAAGGAAAGTCTTGTGAAATAGATACTTTCCAAATGCAGTTAAAGAACATTTCAGACAATGCTCACAGTGACAGGGGCAAGCTAGAAGAGAGACAGCATTTGCTTACTCAATGAAGTAGATCATTCCTGTGTCAGTGTAGGCCATTTCCCAGTTTTTGGGCAGTGGTTCCAAATTTTCATCTCTCATCATATAATTTCTAAAGTCCATGGAGCTATTTGTTTGGTTATAACTTGGAACAGTCTTCATCCAGTCAGATGACTCAGAATGCCTCTCTCTGTTTTCTGCCATTGTTCAAAACAGAAAAGAGTGAGAAGTAGGTAGTTACCCTCTTCTTTCAACAGCCTTAATTCATGTCTAACAATGCCAAACATTATATACACACATATTATTTATAATTATGTATTTACTTACAATTATATATTGCAAATATCACAGTCACATTCTGCTATACACTTTCAAATAACAAACATGTTCAATTTTTTCGATTTCCTAATTGACATTAGCCCTGCATGGCAGGGCACCTTCGATGCTGATATGGGAAAACGGCCAATGCCAGGCCAAGTATGGTGGCACACACCTACCATCTCAGTGCTTCAGGAAGATTCCAGTTTGAGGGCAGCCTAGGCAATTAATTTAGCAAGACCCTGCCTTAAAATAAAAAAACAAGTAAAAGGGGCTAAGGATGTAGCTCAGTGGGAGACCACTTGCCTAGTATGTGTGAGTGGTCAACACAACACAAAACAAAAAACCAACATTACAATCGATTCAGCATAAATCCTGACAAGAACAGCATTCATACAGTTCTTGTATGTGTTGAATTCTATTTTTTAAAAAATTTTTTTTGTCTTTTTGAAATAGGGTCTTGTTATGCAATTTCAGGCTGGTCTTGAGCTCACACTGTAACCCAGGGTGGCCTAGAACTCACAATGATCCTCCTGCCTCAGCCTCCTGAGTGCTGGGATTACAGGCTGGTGCCACCACACCCACCTGAATTCTATTTTTTAAATTCTATTTTAAATGCTATTAACTCATAGTACTCACAATAAGCCTGCATTTACCATAATTCTTGTTTAACAGATTAAGAAAATTAAGGTATAGAGAAGTTAATTCAGTCAAAATTACAGTCATTAAATTACAAAGCCAAGTTTGAATATAAGTGGTCCATGGTCTTAACTACTATATACTAAGCTGCTTCATGAACTTTTAACAGGCCTTGAAAGGATACTTATTTTTTTTTACTCACACTAAATATACTTTCTATTGGTAATATAATTTTCTGGTAATATTGAACTCATTTTAGAGCCCCAAGGTCTATAAGGTAGGGACGTATATTAAAATCTGGTTATTAAGGAGTCTGCAATTCATGCAGTTAAAATTAAATCTATTAACTTTACTACTTCCTTTTTCCTTTTTCACCCTCTGTCCTGGTCCTCACTGCTCCCTGACCACACTTTAGTTCCATGATCAACCTCTCTCATCACCTTGCTGTATACACTGACTCCTTCGCCCCCCACATAATACTGTTACATGTGTCTGGCTGCACTGTAATTGCTTAACTGTCCTGTCCACCTACACCACGCTCACACACGCAGCTGAACACAGGCAGCACTGACTACATGATCACTGACCTCGGTGGGCACTTAATGATGCATGACAATCACAATCATTTCTTTCGTTTACTCTGATACTCTCCTGGATAACTATTTTATACCTTCCTTCTCCTTAAATCATCTGCAGTACCCCCTGTCCCCCGCCCAGCACATTTGGACGTATGTTCCTTGACCCCTAGAGGATGTCTGAAACCACAGGTAGTACTTAACTTTGTATATACTGGACTTTTCCTTTTCCCATGATAAAGTCCAACTTATAAACTAGGCACGGAAAGAGATTAACAAGATCAACAGCAATAACTAGTAATAGAATAGAGTAGTAACAATTTACTGTCATAATGGCTATGCGAATCAAGGCTTTCTCTCAAAATATGCAGCAATATTTTCAGACTGTGGTTGGTTGTGGATAACTGAAGCTGTGGAAAGCAACACTCTACATTAGGGAGAAAATCTACATTTGTTTTTTCTTAATCCCGTTTGATGACCCCGCTTCCTATTTCACTGGGATAGCAGACAAGCAGAAGAGGACCTCTCCAGGCTCCCCCTCACCGACACAGCCACCGTTGCCCATCTGTTTACTCCACCATCTAGGGCCCTGGAGAAGCTGTGCTCCCAGCTAAGGCCCGCTTGCCAGTAATAAACTGGACGTCCTGATGCATGTGTCCTGTCTGCACCACCAATCCTCCTGACCTATTAGATAATCTCCATCCCTGTAAAAATATGTTGCTTCCCCAATATTTAAAAAGAAAATAATTCTCTCCCAGCAACCACCCTACCTCTTCCCTCTCTATAACAAACCACCTTGAGTGTTTATGCCCGTTACTCCCACTCCCACCGTTGCAGTTCTCTCCTGACCTCATGCCATCACAGCTCTCAACTTCCATTAGTAAAACTGTTCTTGCCCTCCTAGTTCCTCCTATTCTCCTTTTTTTTGTTGTGTTTTGTTTTGTACCCGAAATTGAACTCAGGACCTTGTGCTTGCTAAGCAGCTGCTGTGCCACTGAGCTATACCCCTGGCCCCCCTGCCTATTCTCACAGTGACCAGAATGAGTCTGTTAAAACCTGCTGTATAACACTAAGGTTCCATGTCACTCTAGAAAGAATGGTTATTATCAAGAATCAACCAGTAACAAATGCTGGAGGGGCTGTGGGAAAAAGGAACGCTTCCCCATTGCTGCTGGGAGTGTAGACCAGTACAACCACTGTGGAAATCAGTGTGGAGATTCCTAAAAAAACTAAAACTAGAGGTTCCATTCAGCCCAGCTAGTCCCCTTCTTGGTATCTTTCTGAAAGAATTAAAAACAGTATATGCACACCCACATATATGCACAGTAGTGTACGCACAACTGTGTTTATAGCGGCATAGTCTGTAATCTAAATCTTGGAAACAGCCCAAATGCCCATCAACCAATGAATGGATAAAGAAGATGTGGCTTTTTTTAAACAATGAGTACTGCTCAGCCATAAAGAAAGATAAACTCAAGACATATCTAGGTAAATGGATGCACTTTGAGGCCATACTCTTAAGTGAAATAAATCAGACACATATTTGTAAATACCACATTGTTTCTCTGGTATGAGAAACTGTAAGGGTAAATAAGACCAAAATATATAACAGATACTGGGAAATAGGAAGAAAATGTTCAAACGGGAAAGGGAACAAGTGTATGGTGGGAGGGGGCAAAGAGGCTAGAAAAAAAAAAAATGGAAACAAAGCTTTTGTAAATAAGGAAGGGAAAAGGTGTTGATGGGTGGGGAGGGGCTGGGCAAAAAAGCAGCACCAAGATGGATTACACACAGATACAAATCCTCTATGATTTGTGTGATCATTATGTATATCTAAAAATGTACAAATAAGGTTAATTTTTAAAAATCCATTGTATACCCCTTCTTTTTTTTCCTTTGTAGGCAGGCTGGCCTCAAACTTGCAGCAATCCTCCTGCCTCAGCCTCCCGAGTGCTAGGATCACAGGCGTGCGTCACCACTCCCAGCTCTGTCATAGAGTCTTCTACGCAAAGCTCTCTCATGGTTTCTCAAGTAAAACTCCAAATTTTTCCAATATCCTACAAGATCTTGTATAATATGTGTTCCCTCCCCATCACTATCTGAACAACCTCATTGGTTGCTAAGTTGCACAGGTGGGTTTGAACTGGTGATCCTCCTGCCTCAGCCTCCCCAAGTGCTGGGATTACAGACATGCATCACTTTGTCCAGCTTGCTGGTTACTATTCTTTTCTGCTCTCCTGCCTCCTATCACTCGGATCCACCTACACAGAGGGTGCTGTCCACATTTTATCTATCACACTGGTTTCCCTGTTGTGTGTGAATATTCCAAGCAAGCTTCGCCTTTAAGCCATTTGAGCCCCTAGCTTCCTGTGTCAGAATGCTCTTCCCTAGTACCTGCGTTTACTCTCTTCTTTCAAGTCTTTCTGTCCCTCTGTCTAAAACTGCAAAGCTTGACCTTCCTATATACCTACCCCTGATTTATTTTTCTTGCTGGCACCATCTAATACACTGTATTTGCTATTCATTCACGTTGGCCAGTTCCAGTTCTCCCATCAGAAGGTACAGTCTATGAGGACAGGGTTATTTTAGAGTTTTGTTTTGTTTTTTTTTTTTGGTCTGTTTTGTTCACTGCTTTGGCCCCAGTATTTAGAACAAATAGCTAGCACTTAGTAGTCTAGCAGGAGCTCAGTAATCATTTGTTGAATGGATAAAGGAAACATATGACCTATTTTCTATGCAGGAAAATAGAAATTAAAAAACATTCAATGTAGAAATCAACCTGGAAGGGAGTTACAGTCTCAGGAAGTAAGTATGTTGGAGAAAAGTGACAGCAACTATATATGATCCATAACACTTTTAATACAGTTCCAAGAGGCTAATTAAAGGTGTCTGCTTAATAGCCAAGACTTGCGAAGGTGCTGTGTATGTTATACCTCACAGGGAAAAATGTTTTGGCATGACTGCATAACACACTTCATCTGATGTGTGCATGTTAGCATTCTTTTGAGTTAATTCTTTAGTGAGATGTAAGACAATATGCACATCAGTGCATACAAATAAGCACCTACTTCACCTCTCTACTTCCATCCTCTAACAACTTTGATTTTTCAAGGCAGGACTGTGGTACTTAAAGCCAAATACACGAAGCACATTCCTCCCAAGTATGATTAAGTTAACAGTTACACTCAGTACTCAGGAAAGATGAAGTTTTCAGTCAGGTGTTTGCTATATTTTTTCATTTAAGCATTCTAATGTTTTCCCTGACCAAGAAATGTACAACCACATGTAAGCACCCTGTGATATCTACATGGAAGAGTACCAAGTACCTCTTATATGCTCTTGGATACACTCCCTTGAAATATTAACATCAAAGAGCATGAAACATCTGGTTTAACAACTGGCTTACATGACTAACATAAACTATGGAGATTACAGACAGGGTTACCTCTGAGAGAATCACAGTGATCACTGCGGGGCTCTGCATTAGGCAGTAAAAAAGGAACACGTTTTTCCCCCTCTCAAATCGAGAACATAAAAATTCCCACATTGGACAGATTTATGGTCTCCAATCCTAGTGTCTGGCGTTTAAAAATATGAATATATTTGATTTTGTGCAATAGTGAAAGCTGACATCAACACCAAAAGGCTTCACAATATGATTTCCCTAATAGCCTCTGAAGAACTAGGTACGACTTGATTTAAATTTTTCTAAACCTATTTTTAGTCTCTGTACCCAAATATATTGAGTAATTCATTTAACATTAACAACTATTTGAGAAATTAGGACAATAAAATGGAAACTCACGATCTGGAGGAAAGAAATAAACAATGAATATACTGAAACAATAAACATACTACACAAAGCAATTCTATGTCACTTTTGTTCTTCTTTTGCAGTAGGGTCTTACGGTGTAGCCTAGGCTGGCTTTGAACTACGATCCTCCTGCCTCAGTCTCCCAAATGCTGGGATTACAGGTGTGTGTCAGTAAACCTGGCCACAGTAAATTTTAATAACTAATGAAGGAAAAGCTCAAAATGCTTTGGGAAAGTGATAGGGAGATGGGTTCTGCAAATCTGGAGACATGAGCAGTATTTTTTTAGATTTTACCATGTGCCAGGCACTATTTTTGGAGCACAGAAAACAGTAATGAACAAAACAAGTGAAAAAAATCCCAACCCTTAGGATGTTTATGTTCTACTGTTGCGAACGGTGTTATCACAATAAATAGCAGTGAAATATGTCTGGCTGTGATTCTAAGGTTTCGCAGTCATTCTCTCAGTTACGAGTGTCACAGTTTCCCAGGCAGTCACTAATTAGGGATAGTCAGTCAAAAGGAGCAGATTCCTCTTCCTTTCATTTCTTCTGGCTTTCCACTTGATGAAAAAATATTAAAGTCAACAAAACAAAAATAGGAGTCACATTTAGAACTTTTCTTTGAGTAGATTCAGAATTTGAATTAAAAATATTAGTAACAAATTATTTTTATTAGAAAATTTTTAAGCTTTATGTACTTTCTTTGGCTGAAGGCTACCTTATATAACATCTACATTTTGTTTTTATTCTGTAAAGCATGACTTAGGCAAACAGGACCACCATATTCCAGCATCTGTGACTAATCAAAACTAGTTTAGGCAATAAGGTAATGGTATATTATTTTATTTGATTACTGACACCTTGTGGTTGATTAATCAAAATTGGAACAACTCATTTTAGCTTACAGAATTGTCTCTAGAGGTTTATTCTGCTCCATGCACAACCTTTCCAAAACAAACGATCCTATCATTTGTTCTCTACATGCTGCATGAGCATTGCTCGATTTTCAATTCAATGTCCAGTAAAGTCAGCCTAGAGTATCTGTTAGAAGTCCCTCATCTGTTTACAAACCTGTGTTTCCACTGCCATTTATGGCTTCCTTGTCCTCATCTTCTTCCTCCTCAGGCAGAGAGCTGTCCATCCTTTCCATCTTGCTGACAGATGTAGTTCGTTTTCTTTGGGATTCTGTGTCAAACTCATTATCAAAGAGGACCTGATCAACCGGATCTGGCTGGAAAGGGCTGGGTTCTGCTGGAGGCTTAGGAGTTCCATAGAAGTTTCCTGAGATGGACAAAATAACAGCAGCTGAAAGCACTAAGGCTGAACTGAGAGTCTGGACGACATGACCTGGCGTCTGTCTCTGCTTTTCTTTTTACACCGAAGGTTTGGAATATCTGAGTATCTGCCACTGGCCAAGAGGAGGACAAAACACTTTCAGGAGAGGAGGAGACAGCAGTACAGGAAAGATCTCGTTTCTCATGTGCTCATCATATGTTACCTAACATTTTAATACTATTCATACCATGGCCAGGAAGTTTATTATTTATTTCTACACAGTCTGTTCTACAAGCATTGTGAATTAGGGCCTAATCTGTAAAAGGGTTCATGCTCTCCTGCAAGGTTAACTGACATTGAAAGCGGGAGTAAAACGTGATGACGCCAACTCAAATAACTCCGTTCTAATGTGTATAATGAACTATTCTGAGAAAGTGAAATACATGGGCAAAAGATAAAGCTAAAAACTAATAAGGTAATGTAGAATGTAGGCTGTGTGTATGTAATTATAAAAGATTTTCTAGGTATTCTAATTACATTATCTGACAATTTACTGAACAGACGCATAATTAGCCCTAATTCAGTATTTGTTTTCTCTCAAGAAAGCAAGAAATTAATTTTTTCTTGAGGATCAGTGATTTTTGCAGTAAAAGTAAACGTTCCAGAATTAAAACAGCTAATATCCTCTCAGTCTGTCACACAGCCGAACGCAACGTGAAAGCATGCGACAGGTGTAGTGACATTAACAGTTTGTGGCTTTTACTAGTTTTGCCCTTGTATCGATCATTATGCTAACTGTCAAGCAAAGATAAATATGGCTAGAAAGTAACACACTTGTGATTTTTTAAAATCACACCTTTTTATCACTTTCTTTGGCTCCTAAGGAGGTAATTAAGATGTTAAAGTAAGTTAATGAAGTTGATGGATAGTTTTTCTCCCCTAGGTAGAAAACAAAAGTCACATTTGAAATAGGTTACTCGTGTTACAGAGGTAGGTGCAAAGATCTGTATTAAAATTGACTAGCTTTTCTATAGACTTTCTGACCCATAAGTAAAGCAAAGAACCGGAAAAGCCAGTTCACACTTCTTTGGGCAAAGGGCATGGAAAAAATAGAAATGATATTGGAAAATAAAATGTCATCTTTCCTGCATTATGCCCAATAATCACACTATTATGGAATCTGACTTTTCCAAGGTAGAAATAAAAAGCCTAACTATAGTAGTAGTATTAGTGGAAACACATTTTACTGTGAATCCCTAGTAATTATTATTTAATTCTAAAAAGTTTAACTTTTTCCTAAGAGGAAAAATCAGAAAAAATTCATGATATTATAACTGCTACCCATAATCACTGGGAAGATTATAGGACTTCATAATAAATTCTGGCAGTTTCTTTGTTTAAAAATATAATGACTGGGCTTAGATTTAAAAAGAAAACTAACACTGCTCATAAATTTGGTCTATTTTCTTTCAGTTGTTGGTAAATATTTCAGATACAGCAAAGTATAAAATTCCAAGTTTTATGAATCTTGACTGTAATTATTAATGAAAAGATTAAAAAGGTTTTTAATCTCTTCAGAGCTGTTTTGGTGCTTTTTCTTCTAAAGTCTCATTTTTGCAACAGAAAAACCAACAATTAAACATTTCAAATGTAGATAAAAGTCCAGAAATATCTGTTCATATGTACTTAATATAAGTATGTGTATATTTATACTTATTTACATACATACCTTCCAGATACTAACTACTGTCAGATTTCTTTGAAATTTCCTCTTTTTTCTCCTTAAAGACATACACATATATAAAATTAAAGCCCTAATTTCCTGATTCATCCTTCCCTATTTCCTCCCTGAGCTGTTCTAAAGTTGGTACCTACCATTTACCCAAATAATGTATACATGTAGGACATACATACAAGAATCCATAATACATACTTATAATACTACTACTTTCAGCAAAAGCTTGAATATTTTTATATTTCATATATTTTTTCATAAACAGCATAGAACTGTGCATATATTTTTTGCAACTTTTTACACAATTGTATTTCTAAGACACAATCATGTTGATATTCAGTATTTCATCAAACTTCTATATATATCAGCCCATTTTTATAAATTTTTTTGGTACTGGGAATTGAACTCAGGACCTTGTGCTTACCAGGCAGGTGCTATGCCACTGAGCTATATCTCCAACCCTATCAGCCCATTTTTATGAACAAAATAAAATGCATTCTATGCATTGGTCACTTAAAAGAGAGTTGTTTCCATTCTGTCACTATTTCAAACAGTGCTATAAAGACTATCCTGATACTTGTCTACACACGCACATGGGCAACAGTGTCTCTTGAGTGGCTAGAGAGGGAACTCCTAGGTCTAAGTGATTTGCTAGCTACTGTCAAAATGCTCTCAAAAGGGATTTTACACTCTCTCCATGAGTACATGGGAGTTTCCATTTCCTGCAATTAAAATTCCTCAAAATTTTTGCTAATTTAACAGATAAGAAATGGTGTATAACTGTTGTTTTTACTCCCACTTCTTTTGTGCACAGTAACTGAAAATATGTAATATGCTTCTTTGAAATATATCAAGTTCTTATGCTTTATTAAAGAAAATGTAGCCAGGCATGGTGGCGCATGCCTGTAATCCCAGCACTTGGGAGGCTGAGGCAGGTGGATCATTGTGAGTTCAAGACCAGCCTGGGCTACAAAGTGAGCTCAAGGCCAGCCTGAACTGTATAGCGAGACCCTGCCTCAAAAAGACAAAATAAATAAATAAATAATAAAAAAATAAAAATGGCATTAAACAAATAATGAAAATGTAGGAGAATGTCCCTGATTTAAGGACCGAAGTCTTGGGAGACAAAACCATAAATTGTAAGGAAAATAGTAATAAAACTGATAAATAAAAATTAAGGATGTCTATTTAATGAAGAAATATAGGACAAGGTCAATAGGTGACAGAATAGAGAAAACATCTACTTTCATAAGCGATTAGATATGTAAGGAATATCCTTAAACCAATTGACTGGGATCCTACTATTAAAAAAAAAAAGGCAAATGAATGCACAAATTGCAGAAGACCAAAAGACTAACAAGTATCAGACTACCAGAGAAATTAAACTTAAATATCAGATACTACCTCTATCACCATTATATTGGCAAAACCATGAGATTGGATAATGCCAAATATTGATGAGAATGTGGCACCATAGTTACAGCTGCTATGGGGCCCTTCTTGTACTGAGGGGAATGGAGACTATTTCAGTAGATTGGGTACATATCAACTCTACTCGTTAATGAGTGTGCTCTTGGATATGTATTCCACATTTTCACACAGATCTGTAAGAACATGTGTGACAATGTCTACTGCACCTTTATCTATAATAATGGAAAGTTGGAGGAAAGCTCACTGCCAGCAGAATAGTTAAGTTAAATACAAATACAAATGGATTTCAACTATGCAGTACTGTCAGAAATTTAATTCCAAGTGTTCAATATAAGTAAACTACAGCAACATGGCTGAATTAAAAAATGAGTAAAACCAATGAAAAACAATGATACATAGAACGTCCTTCAGATGTAAATAGTAAATATGCACACAAGACACAATACACATTTTATAAGAATACCTGTAAGCAAAAACATGCAAACATCATAAATGGATCTGAATAGTTAACGGTAAGATGGAGGCTATTTGCACAAACATCAAAACAAGTAAGTAGGTATTCTTTCCCGAGAAGTCTTTTCTGGCAACCTATATAAAGAGGATACTCCTGTTATTTTCTTTAAATCCCTTGTTTTTGTTCCCCTTATAACATCTCAGGTTATGGTTATTTTGTTTTTGACTGTCTTCACCACTAAGATACAGGTTTCATTAAGGCAGTAGTATTTCAGGCCTATCTATCACAGTATCCGCTAACTCTCTTACACTGCTTGACATAGAGTAGCTTAAGAAATAAGTAAGCTGAATAAAATAAATTGGTAAATGAATAAGTAAATGCATCATGGGAGCTAAACTTAGGAAAGGTAGTTTGGTCAAGCTTAGAAGACAAAAGGAAATAACTGAAAGTTCTGAATATGAGAGGGATATGATCAAAACTGTGCCTGAGGAAGACCCACATGGCAGCATTTGGCAAGGTGGACAGAAAAGAGGGAGGAAGCTGAACAAAAGAGATCAACTGTAGCAGTCCACGCCCGAGCTTGTCCGGTGGGCCTACAACCAGGCAGTGAGAAGGAAGAGGAGAGCACTGTGCAAGCAGCCACAAATGAAGCAATGCCTAGATCTAGCAGCTGACTCTTGAGGGAAATGTAAAAGCAAGAAGGAATTGATGATTCCCTTGTTTGGAGCTCATGGTGTTGCTACAAAAAGAAACTATGAAGAATTACTCTTTTGGAAAGAACATATTCATATGTGGATATGTGGAATTCAAGGCTAGATATTTATTGAACATTATCTCTAGGCACTGAAGATACAATCAAGTAAGAAAGACATGATCACCACTATCACAGAGCATGGGAAACAGACAGTTCTAATGGGACGATAAAGGATGATGGAGAAGTATGAGTGCTATGAGAGGGGATAAACTTGCCAGTAAAAAGCATACTAGATAAGCAAAAGAAATAGAAATCTAACAGAGAAATGTAAAAATTGAAATTGATCTTGAATGTATACCTTTTGGAATCAAGTGGGTAGAGGACACAGAGATACGAGAAGCAAACCAATCGTTCTGTTTTTTGTTGTCTTTTTGCCTCCAACTTAGATTTTCTTTTCTCCCACACAGTCAGCGTACACACAGCTTTTTTAAAGTGTACAGATTTTAGATTCCCAACCACAAACAGAAAGCAATCAACAAATACTTGTTGAGTTCAGATGATGAATGTGACTCACTATGAAATATGCAAACTAGCTAGCTTAATTTCAGTATATTAAAAACCAAAACTGTAAGGTGATGGAATTTGAGCTACTATTTAATCCCACTTTAGTTAGTAAATTATAAATCTCCTAATCAAAAAAATTTTCCTAAGAACTCTTTAAGAAGTGGTATTTTCCTGATCAAATACCCTTTGCAATTACCCCAGGCATCGGGACAGTGTTCAGGGTGCGGCTAATGTTCGGGGACGTACCGTCGTAAGTTCCACTTTCTAACAGTGCTCCACTCTCCTCCAGGGCTTTGAACTGCTCCACAGAAATGAAATTATAGTCCACCCCTGGGACTTCCCCCTCCCTGGGGGCCCTTGTAGTGCCTAAGGAGAAAAAAAAAATGTTGTAAAGTGCTTTTGAACTTACAAAATATTCAGAATAATAGAGAGTCCAATCTATACAGAACACATGGGAGACACAGACTATTGAATATATTGTTAGAATGGAACGTTTAAGCAACTTAACATTATTACCTGAAAGTAGGATAATGAAGGTAGAACGAGCAAATATACTTTAATAAGATCTACAGATAGCCATGAAATACAAAACTACAAAACCCTGACATAATTTTAGTGCCAAAGACAGCTTAACTTCCCAAGATATAATAGTTACTTCTTTTTAAACCTCAATTATTTAACAGTAAGATGGAAAATTAAATCCACCAATAAGAAACTTCAGTTTTTCCTTACAACTTTATTGTGGCATAACTGACAAGAAGTTGTATATATTTTTGGTGTTCATTTAATGTGTTGACATATGCATGTATTTTGAAAGATAGAAGATAGGCTTTTTTTTTTAATGGGATTAGACCCAATGCTTGATACATGCTAGGCAAACACTTAACTACATCCTCTGTCCTAGACTTCATTTTTAAGTAACTGTCCTATGTACATTCTTCTTTACTAGCATAAATGTAAACTTACATTCTATTTACTAAGTCATGGAAGAAAACAGAGAAACAATTATTTTTTAATTTAATTTTTACAAAATTTTTTTTTATTAAGACATGTTTGCAGTACATGATTACATTCATTGTTGAGTTGAGACACACACACACACACACACACACACACACATATATATATAAAACACATCTTAATTCTTTACTCCTCCCCCATCTATTTTACAAAAGATCTACCAGCCTGTTAACTATTATCTATCTTTTATTTTGGTCTTATTTGGGGTATCTCATATAACAGAAATCATGTCGTATATAAGCCTTTGTGTCTGACTTATTTCACTTAACTTCTGGTCTCAAGGTGTATCCATTTTCCTACGAACAACTTGTTTCTCCTTCTTTATGGCAGAGTAGTACTCCACTGTGTATGAATACCACACTTTCTTTATCCATTCAGCTTTTGATGGAAAAACAATTATGTAAGTTCTTTAAAGTGAACTTTATTTTAAAACTTGGACAAATGTTAATTATGAAGTTTTTCACACTAATGAATACACTTAAGATACCTATTCACATAGTCCTTCTTAGATATTATTGTCTTCAAAAAATTACAAAACATTAAGCAGTAATACACTGTTATATAAAACTGACTACAGTAACAGATCACTAAATTTCTCTATAATAAGAAATTCACACTAAAGTAAAATCTTCCCCATCCAAGGTACAAATTCAGGTTATGGCAATATCGCTACATTTCACTGAATTTTACTAAATAAGAACCAACTGCTGTTACGAACCGCCATTAGCAATGTCATTTCGAATACTACACAATACAAAAAGGGTGTAGGCTTCTAGCTGGGAGCAGCGCCTGAGATAGGCAGCACGTCCTGTGCCAGGACACTTCCCAAACCGGCTCCCCACACAGGTCCCTGGGCTGAGAGCCAGCCAGCACCTTGAGCTCCTCCCTCTACCTCACAGCCCGCCACCCAGTCTAGCTGATTCCACCTCAAAACCGTCTCATCATTCCCACCCAGTTCATACTGCTATCTGCGGCCTGCACTGTGGGGCCCAGCGCTCGCCTCTCCCTAGCTATACCTCCCGCCAAACCATGGCTGGCGACTTTTCTAAAACAATATAATAACAAAATAGCAACCAAATCTCTCCCTAAACTCCTGAAGAGCTTCCTAAGATCCTCGGCACACGATCCAGACTCTACGACACCACACTCACAAGAGCCTTGGCAACCCAGCCCCTGGCCACCTCATCTGCGTCTTTCTTGCCTCATCCCGTCACATTCCAAGATTTGGCCGGAATAGATGTTTTTCAATTCTTTTACTGCTCCTTACACTCCTTTCCTCCAATCAGTGACTCCTTTGTCATTTCCCCAGAAAACTTCCTACTTTCTTTCCCATCCTTACTAACTCCTACTTATCCTCCAGGTCTTGGCTTAGAAAGGTTCTTTGGAGAAGCGTCCCTTTTCCTCACTGGCATGTCTGCATGCTGGAAAGATCTTACAAGTACTCAGTACACGTAACTGTCAAATTAAGTGAAATTTTAAATAAAACAGCACACTGCCCAGCAATATAACATCAGTTTTTCCTATAAATTAATTCATGAGAGTCTCTTAATTGCATCTATGTTTTAGTTGCATTACCTTCTCTTATACTCTATAGCATGTAGGAAAAATGCAAAGATGGTGACAAAACATTAATGATTGTGATTTGAAAGAATAGTGGTTAAGTAAACAATCTATACAAGACTGCATTGAATTTTCTCCCTCATTTTCTAACCCAGTTTTTTCTAAAAATGAGCTTTTAAAAACATCTGTTTTGGGGCTGGGGATTTAGCTCAGTGGCACAATGCCTGCCTGGCAAGCGCGAGGTCATGAGTTTGATTCTCAGTACCAGAAAAAAACAAAACAAAAAAAAATCTGTTTCACATCAGAAAAGATACAAAAGGTGCAAAACTCAGTTTTTTTTTCTCAGAATGTTATTTTATTTTCAATTTTTTGTTTCTCATATGCTGACCAAACTACATTGTTTAATTTCTAAATTAATAGCTTTTAGCTTCATATTAAATAAAAATTAACTCCAGGAAATATACTTTATGGTTAAAATTATAACTCATAATTGCCTATGGTAGCTGGCAAAAACATGGCCACAGTCCTGGTGAGAGGTGGGCCCTGCTGCCTCTCTCCAAAGTCTGAATTAGACTGCGATCGACTCTGATTAATTGAATGAAGGGCACGATACAGTACGAGGGTAGGCATCCAAGTTTCCATCTTCATCCTCCTGGAATGTTCCCACCACGATACAAGGAAGTGCAGGCTAGGCTACTGAATAAGTACAGTGCTCCAAAGTCCCAGATACATGATGGAGGCCATCTTAGCCCCTCCAGCTCTGGGAGATGCCAATCACTGTAGCCACAGCAGTGGGCCCAGCTAAGCCCAGCCAACTCACAGACTCATGAGAAATGACATATGATGACTATTTTAAGCCACTGAGTGTTTGTTTGTTTTGAGACTGTAGCTCAGGCTAGTCTCAAACTCAGGGCAATCCTCCTGCCTCAGCCTACCAAGTGCTGGGATTACAGGCATGCGCCACCATACACAGTAAGCCGCTGAATTTTTAAGGTGGTCTTGTATGCAACAAAGGCTAATTGAGATAGTATCTAAATAAACTCTAGTATAAAATATAATGACTATATAAAATGCAATCTATATTACGGATAGTACTATAAAAAGAGCATTGATCTAAGGGGCAAGAGAAATTATAACAGTCTGAGATTATTATTAATGGTATAATTTGAAGCAATCACTTAAGCTCTCTAGATTCCTTCTCTCTCTGCAAAGTGTTCAGCAAGATGATGTTCATGAGTCTTTCCATTAATAGGTGTGTTATGTGATCCACATATATATATAAATTTATTTATTTCTAAGATTTAGTAACTTTTGCCAGGCACGGTGATACACACCTGTAATTTTAGCACCTGGGAGGCTGGCAGAAGGATCACCACAAGGCCAGCCAGGGCTATGCAATGAGTTCAAGGCCTGCCTGAACTATACAGAGAGACTCTGTCTCAAAAAAAAGAGTAGTTTTAATGTTAATTCTTTTTACAAAGTATTACAAATTTTCAATTCTGCCACCAAAAGCCCTGTAAGTTCACATATACAAAAAGTTCTAGGGGTTGAGGATATAGCTCAGCGGCACAGTGCCTGCCTGGCAAGTGGAAGGTCCTGAGTTTGATTCGCAGTACCAAAAAAACAAACAAATAAACAAAAAACAAAAAACCCCTGGGCACTGTGGCATGCGCCTGTAATCCCAGCACTCGCAAGGCTGAGGCAAGAGGATCGCTGCAACTTGGAGGCCAGCTTGGGCTACATAGTGAGTTCAAGGCCAGCCTGAACTACACAGCAAGACCCTGTCTCAAAACAACAACATCAACAAACAAAAACCCATGGTAAATGTTTACTAAAAATTACAGTTAAAAGACACATTACCATTAATCCCCCTCAAAATATTCTCCCTCACTTTAAACTCACTTATCCCATCATTCTTGCCACTTTTTGAAGTAGTGCTAGAAGTCCTCTTTTGTGAGTGTCCTTATGGAGTATGACCAAAAATACGGTGAATGCTGCTGCCGAGTACCACCTAATGGAAAGGCAGGCTTGTAAGAATATTACACTGTGTCATCTGCCCTATTCACCAGAACTGCTGCCATGCAACTTCTGGCTTTTCCCTAAAGTTAAAATGCCCATGGAAGGTAAATGTTTTGAACAGATTAGGACCGAGACAGCCACGATAGCACAACTAAAAATAAAAAAGAAGGAGGATCAATGGCAATGTGTCTTTTAAATATTCACCATGTATTTCAATCACACCTTGTGTGAGCCCTATGAGATTAAACATTCTTTTCCATATATTCATGGCTGCAGAGTTGGAATATGCTTGTCCTTACTTGGTGTGGTCTTTGTCTAGAATGTAACAGTACTGAGAGATGGTGGGATCTAAATGAGGCAACCAAGTCACAGGGTCTCCGCCCACAGGAAACGGGTAGTGTAGTTCCTGTCAGAGTGGGTGAGTTATCGTGAGCGGACTGTTATAAAATGAGCCTGACACCACCCTCGCTTTCTGGTACATGAGCATCTTTTGTGCACATGCCCACTCGCCCTTGTGTCATGCAGTCTTGTTCAGAAGCCAAACAGATGCCAGCTCCACGCTTTCGTACTTCCATGTCCACAGGGCAAAATAAATCTCTTTAAAAAAATTACCCAGTCTTGGGTATCCCTTTACAACAGAAATAGACTAAAAATTTCCTCTGTTATGAAATGGCTGTTCAAAACTTTGTACTTCTTTATTAAGTCTGGGGTGTGTGTGTGTGTGTGTGTGTGTGTGTGTGTGTGTTTTACTGGGGTTTGAGCCCAGG